TGGTAACGTATATAAAAACCAAAGAGCAAGACAATAGAACAGATTTCTCAGAACTTTTCCCACTGGAATGCTTTTTAGACCAAAAACATGTATTTTTCTGTTTGCTTGGGAGAGCCCGTGACAACAAAAACAGGCTAGTAATTTTTTTAATCTGATCCACTCCCTCTGTTGTAGAAATATATGTTTCCAATCAAATGCTGAATCAAAGTATTTGAAATGACTATTCACCAATAGTCATTTCCAATAATATGTTCTCTCTGTGAGTTGAGCCCCCCAGTGTCTGTGTGGGTTAACTCCAGGTTTTCCAGCTTCCTCCCACCGTCCAAAAACCTGCAGGTTGATTGGACATTCCAAATTGCCCTTAGGAGTGAGTTTGAGTGTACATGGTTGTTCATCTCCAGTCCCCCCGTGACCCCGTTTGGGAATAAGCGGTTCAGGAAATGGATCAATGAAAATAGTCTCAGTGTTTTATAAAAACATTATGTACAAAGTTTAAAAAGTTTGAAATGTTAATCTGTATTGGACATTTCCCTTTAATTGTCATTGATTGAATTTTGTATTAAATGTATTAAATGTGTGCATTTTCTTTTCTTTTCGACATTTGTCTTATGGATCAGGTTCAAAAATAGAGGAACAACGGGTAAAAAGTTCCAATATGCCATGTCAAAATCAGTTCTTAATATTAATATTTGTCTTTTTAATTTGTCTCTACTTGTCTATCATGTCATTCTTCTGTGAATATCAACTGCATACCTCTCTGCTCTCTATGAGAATCTGTTGACAGTTATGTCTTCAGAGCTTTTTCCATTCTCATGGCTCTGGTCCGGCATCAGCCATGGTCACAATTTTTCTTGTTTTCAGTTTTGGGTTGACTGTCCAACTGTATTTTTTCATGTCTCTTCCAGTAACAGGAATTGATTTAAAACACTGGGAGGATGGCACACAGATTCAGAAAAAACAAAAAATTTTGTCAAGTTTGTGTTCCAAATTCTTAAGACATCTTCATGTGAACATTTTTTTTTTTTTTACAAATTTCGGTTAACAATCCCATCTTTTCAAAAGCTGACGTTAAGGATTAGAGAGTGGATGTTTTCTGATGTGTACACCTACTTGTCATCACTGTGAAGGGGAATTTACATGTCGCGCACATGTAAGAAGTAGTAACTTTATCCACTGGCAGCACTAGTGCTCTTAACGCCAGTTTCAACAAAAAAATGTAAAGATGTCACGGAGACTAGTAGTTCTGACACATCAGGGAATTATCAGCAGTTGATATGTGTAAAGACTCAACTGACAAGTGTATTTGATATTTTGAAGGAGTTTTGGAGGGAGAAGTTCAATAAAAGAGCTGTTAAAAGAGCTGTTAGTTACAGCCAATGAAAGCGCAAGACATAAAGTTGGAGACACAACAGAGTGATACCTGGAAAAAAAGACAGCAAAGATGACAGAGTAAATGCAAAAGGCGCTCTATGCTTAGAAGTAGAATGTTGGCAAGAAGACATGTTTCTCTGAGGTTTCCAGCATGCAATATCATGACAAAAGGAAAACCGTCAGTTTCCTTTAACTACTAAAAAAGCAAAGCAGGATGGTTCAGTTGTGTCTTGGTTATATAACATAAATGACGAGAGACTTGGCTGCTTGACAACTGGAAATGCTAGATAAAAATCACTACAGCGATTCAGGGGTTGAGTCTGACAAAAAGATTTTGTATTGTGTGATCCTATGTCACAACTCAGGTGTGTGGTGAATGCTCTATAACTCCAAAATCCTGATTACAAATTAAGCACATGGTACATGGTTTATAGTACAATGACCCAAATTGATTTAAACAAGCTGTAAAAAAAAATTCAGGAATATCAGTTCAATTTAAGACCACCACTTTAACCAACTTCGACACAACTTAAAAGTAATTCGTAAGAAGCTTCGTAAAGGATGCGACAAGCATCAAGGAAAAAACTCAATATTCAAATTACTTTTAATGCTTTAAATTAAGCATTGCATCATCATGATAAACATGATAAGTAAGCAAATGACGCCTAATTCACAAATCCCTCCATACGAGTTGTTTGCAGCTTAAAGTTTTTGTGTGGTAAAAAAGGGAAGGCAATTGAGAACTCAGGAAGTTGGATGTGGTTCCTTTTCAGATGCAATGTTCTTATGAAGACCTTTTCTAGGGTCGATCCTTCCGCTTGCCCAATGTCAGCTCAGATATGTTCCTGTCCCTTCACAACCGGTATGGTTGCGTGTGAAGGAGAATCACACGCAAAAGGAAAAGGAACAGAAGAAAGTAAAAATACCCGGTAACGGCAAGGTAATATTATCAGGAAACACTCTATCAACTTTCATTGCTATGCAGATGATACTCAGTTATACCTATCGATCAAGCCAGATGAAACTCATCATCAATCATCTAGAGATATAGTTTCCCTGGATGGCTTCGCCCTGGCCTCCAGCACCACTGTGAGAAATCTTGGAGTTATCTTCGATCAGGACATGTCGTTTAACTCTCACATTAAGCAAATTTCAAGAACCGCCTTCTTTCACCTTCGTAATATCGCAAAAATTAGGAGCATCCTGTGTAAAAATGATGCAGAAAAACTAGTCCATGCATTTGTTACTTCTAGGCTGGATTACTGCAATTCCTTGTTATCAGGGTCTTCAAAAAAGTCCATTAGGACTCTTCAGCTGATCCAGAATGCTGCAGCACGTGTTCTTACAGGAACCAGAAAAAGAGATCATATTTCTCCTGTCTTGGCTTCTCTGCACTGGCTTCCTGTTAAATCCAGAATAGAATTTAAAATCCATCTCCTTACGTATAAAGCTCTTCATGGTCAGGCCCCATCTTATCTTAAAGAGCTTTTAGTACCTTACTGCCCTACCAGAGAACTGCGCTCCCAGAATGAAGGGTTACTGGCAGTTCCTAGAGTCTTGAAAACTAGAATGGGCGCTAGAGCGTTCAGCTATCAGAGTCCTCTTTTGTGGAACCAGGTTCCAGTTTGGGTCCGGGAAGCAGACACCGTCTCTATATTTAAGAGTAGGCTTAAGACTTTCCTTTATGATAGAGCTTATAGTTAGAGTAAGTCCACCCCTGGTTGTGCTGCTATAGGCCTAGACTGCCGGGGGAAGCATCATGATGCACCGAGCTCCCCTTTCCTTTCTCTCTCTCCCTCCCAGTGCAACCTCATTCCATTAACAATGTTACTAACTGGACTCTCTCCCTTCCCCGTAGTCGTGTGCTTTCTCGTCCCCCTTCTCTCTCCTCTCTCTTCCTAACACTTTCTGCAGATATTCCTGGCTCTGGAGCTGTGGGGTCTGGATCTGTGGTTGGGAGTCTCCTCCTATCACTTCCTGCAGGTGTTCCTAGAGCTGTGGAGTCTGGATCTGTGGTTGGGAGTTTCCTGCTGCCCCCGTGTTCCTGCTCATCATTAGCATTAATATCATTGCCATTTTTAATCTATTCTACGTGTTGCTGTGTTGGCTGCCTCTCTCTGTTCCTTCTGTCCTTCTCTCGCCCTCTCTCTCTCTCTTGCCCTCTTTTTCCCCTCACCCCCAACCGGCCGAGGCAGATGGCCGCCAACCCTGAGCCATGGTTCTGCTCAAGGTTTCTGCCTGTTAAAAGGAAGTTTTTCCTTGCCTGTGTCACCTAGTGCTTGCTCACGGTGGGAATTGTTGGGTTTCTGTAGTTAACTTAAGAGTAGGGTCTGACCTGCTCTGTTTGGAAAGCGCTGTGAGACAACTGTTGTTGTGATGTGGCGCTATATAAATAAAATTGAATTTAATTTAATTAAATCTAAATGTTCACTCTAACCATGATGACTAAAAACAGTCAAAGCATCATATCTAAACCTAATCTATATGCAGAATTTCAAGTTCAATATTTCTTAGTTTATGTCTTAATCTAAATGTTTTCTGATCCTCTATTTAAACAAATCTAAATATCAAGACTGAGCGGAAACTTAAAATTATGTCAAGATAAGAACATAAATCTAAATAACCTTAATCCCATCTGAAAGAATTTATAACTATGTGTTCAATCTAAATTTAAACATACACATAAAAATATTGTTTGCAGGGATCTAAAACTAAATATTAAATATTAAACCTTAGGGAAATATTCCTTAAATATGGTGTATTTGTTTGAAGCAAAAAA